ATCTAAGAGCAAAAAGCTGGCGTTCAAAGAAGTTGGATATCTCCAAAGCTACACAGCTATGACCATCCCAGGATTCGTACCTAGCATGGCTGAGTGTTCGAGCCCAACTGCTGGTAGGGCTGAGTGTCTAAGACAGAAAAGCTTTAGGGGCTCTCCCTGGGGCTGCCTGAGTTGAAGTAGGTTAGCCTCCTAACCTGCCCTGGTCTGGAGGGCAGTATACAGGAAGCAGGAGCTGAGTGAGACATTTCAGGCTCTAGTGCCTATGAGTCTGAGTCTTCCCTGTTGCTGATGTGGGGCCTGCAGCACCAGCCGTGAGATCGTAGAGTTCAGAAGCTGGGCTGGCTCCGTTCTGTCTGGCTACCCAAAAGAGGTGGGCACACCAGCAATGGTGGGCAGCCGTATGCATCCTGGTGGCAGTTAGGGGGTACATAGGAGCTGGCAGTGAGTGGAAGCCAAAGTGGCAGAGTCGCCGCTCTCCCATCCGGTGCCCATGCTCCACCCCATCTTCCTGTGTCTTGGGGACGATCAGAGGTCCTCTGCTAATGAGCTTTTTGTGTGAGGAAGGTCTTGGAGTGCAGAGTGTTCTGGTATGGGAGTGGGAGGTGGACGTCCTCATGAACAGGAGGTAGGGAGGACGAACCATGACCTTAGTGGCCCTGACTACCACCAAAGGTTTCAGCTCCTGGAAGGCCAGGGCAAGCTTGGGGGGAGATGAGACAGGGCTATGGGGCAGGAGCCTTAGGGGTTCTCTGTCAGTTGTCAGCCATCAGCCTCCATCCCACGGAGCAGGGTTACAAGAGACCACCTGGCCAGGCCAGGGCTCTCTCCCAACCCATGCCCTCTTACCCCCATGTGGCAGACTCCAGCACAGGCCTCCTGCTGCCTGCCACCTGTGTGATCATTAGAACTACCACTCAACAGAGGGATGGTCCCTCAGTGCAGCCCCCAGCTGCCCGGGCTCAGAAGGAAATGTGGCTTCTTTCCCTCAGTAGGCCCCCTGGGCCTGAGGCTAGACTGCTACCCCCAGAATAGTCTGCTAGTGTGAACCCAGCCTCCTCCATTCTCAGTCTGGAATCTATCCTTTCCTGGCTCCTCACACAGGATCTGAGTACCATCTTGTGTCCTGGCCTGCAGGTAGGCCCTTGGGGACCCAGGTCACACTTCTCTCCATCACTCCCCAAGAAATACACAACCTATCCATCGAGCTTTTCTGTATCTTACACCCACTGTGAGCCACTGGAAGCTGCTTACTTTCTCAACAGCACCCTTCCAAGGTAAAGCTTAGTGTTCTCGTCCTGTAGGTGGGGACTCCAGGCTCTGAGGACAATCCCTCCCCCCAAGCCTAAACTACAGAGCTGGAGATCAGACACCCTTCCTATCTCTGCCCCTGCGCACAGTTGGAGGGCAGGTTGCTGGGTACCAAGAGCCAGTACAGGCAGTTCAGAGGTGGGAGGCTGTTGGGTGCTCCCCGCAACACAAAGGTGTCCCCGAGGAGCCAGAGGTTAGACCTGGAGGTACAGCCTGCAGAAAGGGAAGGGCGAACAGACCCTCGTCGGGGGTTGCCATGCAGAGTCCCAGAGTGGTAGGACAGGGGAGCATCTCAGATCTCCTGGGCTCCACATTCCTCTCCTACTTGGTGACCTCTCTGACTGCCACTTGCCCCTGTTGACCGCTCTCTGCCAGACGACCGGCGTGATAAACTACACTGTGTGGTAACTGCCTCGAATGGTAGGGCTCACCCATGGGTGGTGCAATGGTCCTTCCCTTTCTGAACACTACATGCTGCAGCACGTTCCTGTAAATGTGGAGAGACAGACGGCCAGGGCCACAAGGTCCGCTGGTGTGGCCTCCAAGGTTGGCGAGGCAGCAAGTTCTCTGTACATGGCAGCAGGCTAGCCAGGCCCACTCGCTGATGGCCAGGCATTTCTCCTTGGTAATTCTCCCTGACAAAGCCCATTAGTGTCCCTGGGAGCCTCTTTATCAGTGGAAGGCCACTTCCTCTCCTGCTCCTCGACTTCCTTCCCTGTCCTCTCTCTCCCAATCCCTGATTTTCAGTTTCTTCCTCTGATTGTTTTTGGTACAACCATGTTCCTGTCTCCCTCCCCAGCCATCGGCTGCCTATGGCCTAATGACCTCCAGCTTCTAAAGGACCTTAATCACTAGGTTCCCCAGCCCTAGCTTCTGAAAATGAGGTTCCTAGTTCCTGATTCCCGAGGTCCTGCCCCTCCCTCCATGCCCAGGTGCCTTGCCTACTCACCACTCTGTAAGGATATGGCCGCATGAGCCCAGGACCCTGCCTGCTCTCCTGCCCTGGCCTGTGCCACCTGCAGCCATGGCCTCCTAGACTCTTATCAGTAATGTCCTGAGGCTTGTGTCACACCTGTGACAGATCCCCTGCCCTCTCCACACTCAGGCTGTTTGCCTTCGACTGGCCCCAGTAGGGTCAGGCTCCCCCTCACCAGAGCCTCCTCTGCCCCAGTAGCTCAGCTGTGGGTATGCACTGGAGGCTGTGGAGCTGAGACCAGTGAGAGTGCTGACAGCATGATAGGGAGTTGGGGGTGTGCCATACTGAGTGGGAGCCAGATGTTAAAGCTGACCTGGGACCTGCCAGTGAGACTGCAAGAAACAAGTCTTCCATGAGCGAGTAGGCAAAACCCTCAGAAGGACCAGACCTGGGTCTGGTGGGGGGATGGAAGAGGTGCAGGCTCTCATACAGCAGTGTGGGCCAGGATGTGGGGAGGAGGGCTGAGTATCACTTACTCTGCTCCTTTACTATGACAGCCATCTGAGGCTTACTATGAGGCCCCGACAGCAAGTCCCCACAGTTAGACAAGTGTCCTGCCTTAGGCCTAGCCAGGGCTCTCTCTCTCCTAGTCTGGGGCTATGCTGTCCCATCCACAGGTGGGGCAGACACAGGCAGACTTTCCTCTGAGATGCTATCCCACCCCTGAACCTGCAACAGACCAGGCTATCCCACCCATGAACCTGCACCAGATCAGGCTATCCCACCCCTGAACCTGCAGCAGACCAGGCTATCCCACCCCTGAACCTGCAGCAGACCAGGCTATCCCACCCCGGAACCTGCAGCAAACCAGGCTTTTGAGAACTGTCCTTGTTTACAGGCAGAGTGGGGTTAGGCCAAGCAGCCTGGCTCTGCACATGACTGTGAGTGGTGGCCACTGCTCACTCAAACATGGGTCACCAACTTAAGTGACTCACCCTGGCAGGAGTGTGTCAGTGTGCACAGAGCCGTGGTTTTTCTGGGTTGAGAACCTCTTCCACATGATGGCAAGGGGCCATTTATTCCAACTCTGTGCTGCGAATGCTGTCATTGCATGTCATTCACATACACAGAGAGAGCACAGAGAGGTTAAGTAAGCTTCCCAGGGAAGCACAGCCTGTCAGTGGTAGATGGGGATTTGAGATTCCCATGCAGTCTGGCTCCAAACACAACATTTAGTTATTGATATGGGATGGATCGATTCTGGGAAGCTAGAGAATGTTGTTCTTCCCTGATACCCTCTTTCCTAGTCCTCAGGACTAACAGATCCTACATGATCTAGGGGCACAGAGTGGATTTAAAGACAAGCTTTGAGGCTGGGGTCACAGTAGGCTGGAGGGAGTGGGACTGAGTCCAGGAAGGCGTCCGGCGGGTGGACTCCATAGGTCCTCCATAGGAACTTGGGGTAACAAGCCCAAGCCCATGGTCCTTCACGGCTGAAGAGATGAAGCTGGGGGGTCAGGGGTCACACACAGAAGGGAGGGCTGAACAGTGAGGAACCAGGAAGAGGTTAATTGGAATTCTTTATCCTTTTGCCAGGATGGCCACACCGTGTTGAGGGACTCAGCGCTCCAGGGCTGACTGATTTGACTTCTCTCTTCTCATTTGCAGGTCATCTCTGTTGACCTCAGCAGCTTCTCTCAGGGCACAGCAAGATGATCTGCCCCAGTTTGTGCTGCTGAGATCAACAGAGATGGAAGCTGAGGAAGGCTAGAATGTGGCCAGCGGATGCGTTTGCAGGCTTCTGAGCCCAGGCTCCCAGAGGCTGTGTTCACCCACCTCAGCAGGAGTCAGAAAAGTGTGCTTCTCCCCAGCTCAGCCCCAAAGCCCCTGCACCACAGGGAGAAGGCAGTTGCTACACCTCTTCCAGTCAGGGAACTCACTGGTCCTAACCTAACAAGCTGTGTGGCTCTGCCAGACTGGCTGGTCTTATGGACTTCAGTGTTTCTGTCAGTAGTATGGGTAGAAGTGGTAAGCTGAGCCTGCTGTGTGGGCCTGTGAAGATGGAGGGTGGGACACGAAAGGGCTGGGGTGTTGTTTGGTTGATAGTGCTTGCCTAGCATGCACAAAGCCCTGGGTTCAATACTCAGCATTGCCTTGAAGACTACTTGGCTGGCAGGAGAGTTGGCGCAGTGGTAAAGAGCACACACTGCTCTCACAGAGGATTGAGCTTGATTCCCAGTCTTCACATTGGGCATCTCACCGATGCCTGTAACTCCTGCTCCAGAGGGATCCAATGCCTCTGGCTTCCACAGCCGCACACGCACACACTCACACACGCACGCACGCATGCACGCATGGTCATAAAATAAACCTTAAAAACAACCAGGCCTAGGGGTACGTGCCTATAATCCCAGCACATAGAAAATGAAGGTCAAGAGGACCAGAAGTTCAAGGCCATTTTCAGCTACATTGATAGTTCAGGGCTGGCCTGGGCTGCAGGTGACTCTGTGAGAGGTTTTTTAGGGAGCGGCCCCCAGACAAGGGGCTAAGACACAGTGGGCAGGCCTCCAGATGCTCCCTCATGGGCCCCTAGCCCTGCTCCTGCGTCCCAGGTCCTGGGTCCACTCTTTTGTAACCTGGCTCTGTGACACTGGACAGGTTTGGCCCTCTTTGAGCCTCAGCTCCTGGCAGTTGAGGCTTCAGGAAGGGAGGGCAGGGAAGTCCCCTGCCCTAGGAGAGCTGTCCGATGACACCACCCTCTTCTCTGCTCTTGCAGTGGGAGCGCCTGTGGTTCCTGCTCCTCGTCTGCACCTTCAGCCTCACGCTCACCTGGCTCTACTTCTGGTGGGGAGTCCACAACGACTACGATGAGTTCAACTGGTGAGTGGGAGGAGCCCCAGGGCTCAGGATGGGGCCTCCTACCCAGCTGGCCTGAGAGTTCTACCCCAGAGCCTTGAGCAAGGCCCATACGGGAGGCCTGCTCTTCCCCATCTGCAGGCCTCCAGTGAACGTCCTGTCACAGTCTGGTAAGATAGGGCGAGCTCTGTGCCCCTGAGATTTCAGGAAGGCTTTCCGGAGGTGGAGATGTGGGAGCTAGCCTGAGCTAGCTCTCAGACACCCTGAAGTTTACAAGGAGACACAGTAACCCTCTGTAGGTCCAGGCTGTGAGGAGTAGGAGCAGAAGGCAGGGCAGCATCAGCCTGAGGTGTAGGGCCACTAGCCCCCTTTGTAGACAGGAGCTCCAAGGTACAGAAAGGCCAAGGCCTGGGCGGAAGAGGCAGTCCCTAGCCTAGGCTCCCTGGCTCATTGTGGCTGGACTGGCACAGCAAGCAGTTGTCACAGTGCCTCTTTTAGGGGCACTTCCGGTCCAAGGGCAGGGCCCTCCCTCACATCCTCCATTGTCAGCTCTTATTGACCAGCGAAAGGCATGGGCAGGGAGGAAGACCCTGTGTGCTCTGGAGCAGTCCTTTGCTGACAGGTTCTGGGAGCTATCCAGTGTGGGGAGTCACGGATAGGGAGCAAGCCTCTGCTATGTTCTGGATTTCCTCCTCCCTCTGTGAGGTAGGATAACTCCAGCCTTATCAGGTCCTTACCAGGACAAAACTGGGAGCTGAGTGGGGGTGGGACACACAGCTGCTTCCCGGGAGGCTAAGTCTCCAGCAGGGGGAACCTCTGACTCACAGCGCCTGGTGGATTGTGGTTCAAGGATTCTGCTAGGATCTCGGGACTCTTTTAAAGGGATGTGAAGTCCGCTGTGACCTACCTGCGTGTTAGCTTCCCACTGCTGTGACAAAATATTTGACGAGAGCAACTCCAGAAAGGAAGGGCTTACTCTGGCTCCCGTTCCAGAGTACAACCTGTCACCGTCATGGACACAGGAACTTGAGGCAGCTGCTTATGTTGCGTCAGGGAGATAAACACTGGGGCTCGTCCTGACTCCTCTTTGTAGTCAATCCAGGACCCCAGCCCATGGGATGGCACCACCCACATTCAGGGTGGGTCACCCTGCCCCATTTAACCTGATCTAGAAGCTCCCTCACGGACTCGTCTCCCAGGTGATTCTAGATTCTGTCAAGTTGATGATATGAACTGTCACACTCTGCGGAGCACCAGACTGGACTGCTGTCCTTAATGAACGCAGCAGAGGACACACTGCTGCCTCTATCTGCCCTGGAACCCAGTGAGATGAGCCAGGCCCACTCACGTGCCAGAGCTGGGCCCTGGTCACTATTAAATATCACAGGCCAACCATGAGTCTTTGTGAGTGTCTAAAGCACAGGTAGTATTATGGATTCATGAGAACATTGGTTGCTGGCCCTCAATGGCAACTCCTAGACAGCTGCACATATCCTGTAATATATGGACAAACTGGGTTCAAGGAGGGACCCGTGGTCCTCTAGCCAGTCATTGTCAAGAACATGTGTCAAGGGCAGTCTGGGGAAATAATGTCTCAGAGAGGGTAAAAGAGCCTTTGTGAGGTCTCACAGTAAGTTGGTGATGGATCAGTGATGGAGACAGACATCTGGCCCTTGATAGCTCCCTGTCTTGGGGGAAACTCAGCAGGTGAGTGTTCACCCGGCCTCGGAGGCAGCCATGGAGGCCTGCTACCCGCTTCGCGGGAATCTGAAGCTTCTCTTGAATCTCTGAGATTATTTACTACATACACACAAAAAGGACGTGAGCACGATCCTGGAGTTGGCACGGCATGGGAATAGACAAAGAGAGTCACATGGGACCTGGAGTGTCCAGCCGTTTGCCATCGAGACAACACTAGCATCTGCAGAGTTCACGCTGGAGAATATACTGAGATTGCAGACAAACTCATAAAAACACCCAAACAAAACTCAGATGATGTTTTATGACAGTTGACAGATGTGGCCTATGGGCTGCATGTTGGAGACACCTGGTAGGCTACTGTGTGTTTGTCCTGGAGGTGTCCCTGTCCAATGTGGCCAGTGGGACCAGAAGATCTTTTGGGTGTAGCTCCAGGGCCAATCTCTTGCCTTCTTTGGGGCTCAGTTTCCAAAGTTGTACAATAAGGTGAACCTACCCTGTGACCTTCTGAGTAGCAGGCCTCCCCACAGGCTCAGAGCAAGGCCCTGGGAAGGGACAGGGAGGCAGCTGCCCCATGGAGTCTTCCTGATGTCGCCTCTCAGCTCCAAGCAGGCTGCCACTAAGTGTCCTGGGACTGGCTCACACTCTGTAATACATCAAGTGAGCGAATTCACCATTTGAGCCTCGCTTTCCCCACTAACACAAGGAGGTGTGTGAGAGTGAGCTGTCTTTCTGGGGAGTAGGTAAGCTGCAGCCTCCAGGACTGGTAGGAAGTTTGCTCTTCTGCCCTGTCATTCTGTTTATAGCAACGGAACCAAGGAAATAGAAATCCAAAGAAATGGGGCCATTTTCTGATCCCTGTGTTAGCTTATACAGCGAATCATTGCAAGCTAGGAAGTCTCATTAATGGAAAGCCGTCTATATATGGGACATGAATGCAAGAAGACCACGTGCTGCTTTAAAAAAAATCACATTTCCTCAGCATGTTTACTGGTTTCAGTGAATGCTTGTGTCAGGAAGAGTTTGTTATGTCCTTGTCACAGTTTCCCTCCCTTCACTCCCTGAAGCCCTATGAAGGGCATTCTACCGTCTCCATCCTACAGGTGAGCAGACTGGAGTGGTCCAGCTCATCAGCTCTGAGGCTCCACATTTTCACGTTTTGCCGTTGAACTTGAGGTGAACGGCACAGTCAAGGGCATCTTGGGATCTGTAACACCCGTCACCTCCACAAGGTCCTATGAGCCAGCAAGAGGCAGTGTGGGCATTAGATCCCAGAGTGTGTTCATCCCTCGGAGCTGTGCCGGCCATGCTCCTGAGGGTGGCAGGCATGTGGAACAGCCCCGGAGTAGTTATCCCAGATCCGCTGTTCACACATGTATAAAGGTGCAGTGCAGGGCCAGTGAGGAGGAAGTGTAATGGCCCTCAGAACGGTGACTCTGGGCTCTTCTGCTTCTTGCTTTCTGAGTGCCCACTAGAAGTAGGCTTGACTGTCGATAAAGGAAGCACTGATTGCCGATACAGAGCGGGAAAGGGCTGCTTGCGGTTCCCCACCTGCAGCTTCCTGAGAGCTGAGACTGCCCTAGATCCTTGGCTCAGTGGAGGTCTGACTTCTGCCCTTCTCCCACCAGGTACCTCTACAACCGCATGGGCTACTGGAGCGACTGGTCCGTGCCCATCCTGGTGACCACGGCTGCTGCATTCACATACATAGCAGGCCTCCTGGTAGGAGTGGAGAGGTTCCCTTGAGCTCATGTGCCTCGTGTGGGTCTGTCCCCAGGAGGGTCAGACTTGGCCTCTGCTGGTCTGTGGGGATAGGGATATTGCTCTGCCCGGACTCCCTCGACTGTCCCTCTGGAAGCCCCTCCCCACCCCCAGGCCAGGGGAGCCGTTCTGGCTTGTCAGCATCTACTACAGACATCTTCCAGAAACTGCCTGGGTTGCCTACCCGCAGCATCCTCCGCACTGAGAGACTCAGGTTGAGCACTAGGTGCTCCTTGGGGACAGGGCTCAGATCTGCTTCCAAATCTTGGGCCTGGAAATCTCCCAACAAGCCGAAGCGTTAAGTTGGGCAGTTTTCATGCGGCCGAACCCAGGGACCTTTCACAGGGGAATTCCCAGAGGAGGAGGCTTGAGGCCTGGAGTAATCTGGAAGGAAGCCAGGCCTGGACAGGGCTGGGCTGGGCATTCCTGGTGCCTGTGGGGAGGGTGTGTCCTGCCTAGGGTCAGTCGAAGGGCGGGAGTGTGGAGCGGGGTGTCTGGAGAGCTGGCAAGCTTTCCAGACACGTGTGGCTTGACCGGCCCCCTGGGCCTCTCTTCAGGTCCTGGCACTATGTCACATCGCCGTGGGGCAGCAGATGAGCCTGCACTGGATACACAAGGTAATGAAAGGCTGCTCCAAGGGGGGAGGGGAACAGAGGCCTGGAAGCAGAGAGTAGCCTGGCTGGTCGTCCCCCTCACCCCCCCAGCCCTGCAATGTAGGCACTGCCAGCATCCTACTCTGCAGGGGCAAAAACCAGAGAGGTAGTCAGCATGCCTATGGTCTCACAGCGTGTGTGGGAAGCCCAGGGTTCTGCCCTGCAGCCACTGCACTCAACAGCACCAGCTCTGCCTTGGCCCCGCCTTCTCGACTGTCTTTAGTGAGCTTTGGTGCTGGTGCCTGGGATGGCCCAGGCTGTCCTGGTCTGGTCCTGATCGCTTTCTGCCACCACCATGGGACAGTCACCTCGACTTCTGCTGCGGGAGATGTCATTCCCACCCTTGGCCTGCCCACCTTTCCGTGGCTTTTACTCCCTCGCTCTGGCCCTCATTTGCTCTTTCTCTTTGAGCTCCTTCCCTGTATTTGAACGCTCTCTATATAGCCTGTGTCCCAAGGCAGGGGTCTCTTTCTCCTCCCCGCAGCCTCCCCTCCCAGATGCGTTTTACAACATTTGTGTTACCAGTTTCTTCCAGGTGCCTGATCTCAACCCACTCTAATTTAATGACACTTGAAGACTAACCTGGCACTGATGGCTTCTCCCTCTGTCCCAGTGTTCATTCCAGACTGGTCCAAAACCTCATCTCTGTCTCACTCTGTCTCTCTGTCTCTGTCTGTCTCTGTCTGTCTGTCTCTCTCTTTCTCTCTCTCTCTCACACACATACATACACACACACACACACCTATGCTGAGTATAGGTTGTTGATACCTGCTATGCTTGATCAGGGCCGTAGGACTAGGCCAGTCCTGGCCAAGATAGAGCCATCCCCTTTAAGGAGCCTGGGGGTGGGGGTGGGTGGGGTGGGAGGTTGGGGGGGAGAGTCATCTCTTTCCCCCACAGCATGGCTAGGAGTAGGCACACTATCTAAGAAGAGGCAGAAATGTCTGGAAACAAACAGGACCCACAAGACTGACCTAGCTAGCAGGGAGACGGAAAGAGGGAGAGAGGGCACAGGTGAACTCGAGTTAGGTGTGTGGAGCAGGATGGGAGTCACCTTGGGAGCCAGGCCTAGGTGACTGAAGTCTTGTAGGGATGGAGAGAACAGTCCCTGCTGAGGATTTCATACTGAGGACTGCTCTGGGGCTTCCTCAGCCCCCTCTGGGAGGCGCTTTCTTCTCTCAGCTGCATTGCTGACATTTGAAAGAGGATATCAGCTGGCATCTGGGGATGAGGCACACATGCTGTGGTCACCTCCTGGGGCTGTGCCTGGCTCTCAGCAGGTCAGGTCACACAGGCATGATCCTAAGGGAGAAGCCTGCAGTTCTACAGAGCCAGTCAGATCAGGGTTCCTCAGCTAACCTGCTTCCTGCTCCAGGCCCTTCTCTCCCTTCCACACAGTCCTGTGAGGTCTCAGAGGCAGAAGGGCCTGCCAGGCAGAGATGAGCCAAGCTGGGTCTGTTTCCAGCTGGCCTGGCTTCCCAGGTTCTGGGTTTTAGAACAGGGCCTGGAAATTCTACCGATGTGTTTAAGAAATCCTGGTTATTTCTGTCTGCTTGCTTTATCTTAATTCATTTTTTATGTGAACAAAAATTCAGACATGAAAAATCATACTTGATAAACTTTTTCCTGCATACACTCCCTTTTTATTTTAATTACTTGTGTGTGTGTGTGTGTGTGTGTGTGTGTGTGTGTGTGTGTGTGTGTGTACACACCACAGCACATATGATATGGAGGTCAAAACATACCTTTTGGGAGTCCGTTTTTTTCTCCATGTGAGTCCTGGGGGTCAAACTCAGATCATCAGGCTTGGCAACAAACACTTTTACTTTCTGAACTATTTCACTGATGTCCCCTTTTCTTTAAATTTATTTTATGAGCACAGATGTTTGCCTGTGTTTAAGTATAATACATGTATGCAATGCCTCCAGAGGCCAGAAGAGGGCGTAGGGTTGTCTGGAACTGGCATTAGAGGCAGTTGTGAAGTCCCCTGCAAGGGCTTGATCAGTTCATAACTGCTGAGTGAGCTCTCCAGCCCTCTCCCTTTCTTTGTACACACACAGTTACCTCATCTGTGCCCTCCTTTTAAAAATGTGCCAGGAGCGCCCTCTTGGACACAGTAAGGCCGTGGCCATCAATCAGTGCCTGACACTTGCTCAGGTCACCCCCTCATTCCCGAGTCATCAGCCCAGCTCATTAGAATCTACTAGTTTTCAGACCTTTTGCAGGGCAGTGTAGCTGTGATCCAGGAGGAAAGAACACTGTATTTTCCTTGTTCTCTTCACTGTTGTTTTGAGGCAGGGTCTCACTGTGTAGCCCCTTAGAACTCACCCTACAGACCACACTGGCCTTGAACTCACAGAGATCCATCTACCTCTGCCTCTGCCTCCTGAATACTGGGATCAAAGGTGTACAACTACTCTCAGCTTTTTCTAAACTCATCATCCTCCTGCCTCAGCCTCCTGAGAGCACACATTATAGACCTGTGCTACCATGTCCAACAAGAAGGTATACAATGCCCTTTGGCACATGGTGCCAACCCACGCTCCCTAGGCAGTGTGTGGCTATGCCAGCAGGATCCCCTTGCCCTCAGGCGGAAGCTGATCCCTTGGGAAAGACCTGCCTGAGAGGTCAGAGGTTCCCCTGAGTCCTCCCAGCCTGCATTTCCCCTTTGCTCAGGTTTCATAGAGCAGAGTCACCTGAGTCTTAGCTTTGTGTCTTCTGTCCTTTTGCTGTGGGATCTGCTTATCAATTTGAGGGACCTCTTTGTAGATTTGGGAAGTTGACCCTTTGGTTGATGAACTGCAGATAATTTTGCCCAGTTTGTCCTTCATCTTTTGACTTTTTGACTTTGTTTATTGTATTTGTGCCATGTGGGTATTATTATTATTATTATTTCTTTAAAAACCAAACAAACCTTCGATCTGGCTGGGCTTAGCTATGCACTCCTTTAACACCAGCACTCAGGAGGCAGAGGTAGGGGGATCCCTATGTGTTTGAGGCCAGCCTGGTCTACAAAATGAGTTTCGGGGTAGCCAAGGATACACAGAGAAACCCTGTCTTGGGGGTTGGGGAGAGACATAAACAACAACCCTCGAAACTATCATCTCTTTTTGTGGCCCTCGGGTTTGGATCAGACTTAGAAGGGTCCTTCCCACTCCAAGATGAAATGGAGATTTTTTTTTGGGGGGGGTTATCATTTGGTAATTTTATGACATTGCCTTTTTGACATTTAAATGTTCCTTAATCTTTTGGAAGTTATTTTGGGGCCTGGTACGATCTTCCCAAACTCACTGAAGATGCTTGCCAGTGTCCCCAGCTGGCTCCCCTCCCCTGTGTGTCGGAGATGCCTTTATGCTCCTCCAATGCCTTCAGACCTCTTTCTGAAGGTGGCTTTCATTTATCCCTCTGGTCTTATGCCAGGGTCATATTGCTTTGAAGATGTCAGTTTTATGGGACATTTTAATCCTGGTCTGTGTTTAGAATCCCTGGTTCCCCTGAGTCCCAAAAAGGGGAGAGCAGAGAGGCTTAGGAATGGGCAGGAGGTGAGTGCTGTGGCCCAGGGCTCAGAGGCCTGGGAGGCCAGGAAAGTCGAGGCAAACATAAAGCCCATCTGTGAGATGATTTTGTACCTAGCCACCACCCAGAGCCATCCAAATACCTCTTGGGAGGGATGCTGTGCTCTGAGCACTCTGCCCTGCCCCTGTGCTGTGCCTCTAACTCCCCCACTCCAGGGGACAGCAACTGGGCTTCAAGGCTTATACCCAGGAGGGCTATATCAACCACCCAGGCTGAAGCCAGAAAGAAGCCAGACTCTACCTGGCCACAGGATGTGCAGCTGAGCTGGACTGGGGCCTGCTGGACCCATGGACACTTCAGCAGCACTGACTGTGAATTCAGCCTGTTCTCCAATTGCTGGTGTACATGACAGTTCTTTCTGGTGCTAGCTTCTGTCTTTCCAGATGCACTCTAAAAAAAGCACATTTGATCTGTGGCACACGCCTTTAATCCCAGCACTTGGGAGGAAGAGGCAGTCGGATTTCTGAGTTAGAGGCCAGCCTGATCTACAGAGTGAGTTCAGGACAGTCAGGGCTACACAGAGAAATCCTGCAGAGAGAGAGAGAGAGAGAGAGAGAGAGAGAGAGAGAGATATTGAGAGAGAGAGATATTGAGAGAGAGAGGTTGAGAGAGAGAGAGATTGAGAGAGAGAGAGAGAGAGAGAGAGAGAGAGAGAGAGAGAGAGAGAGAGATTTGAGAACTTCCAGTATGCCAGACACCATGTTTGTCATAATAGCATTAGCAGCATTTATTGAGTACTCGCTGTATGCGGCTTGTCCTTTCCTCTCTGTCACCCCTTTCAGTTACAATTATTCAAAATGGCAGCACTCACATTTAATAATCATTTCCTTTTGGTGGCAGCTACTGTGCAAAGCACCTTACATACATGTTCTCGTTTATGTCTGAAACCCCTCCCTGGAAGGCATTCATCATTATCCCTGTATTCCTGCTCAGAGCTGTTCCCCGAAGGTGTTACCCTCCTCCAGTGCAACAGGGTTTGACCCAGAGATGTGACTCAGGTGTAGAGACCTCAGGCTTCTACCAAGAGGCTAACCAATCTACAATCCCGAGTTCCAACTCTCCTTGTGTCTTAGCACACAGGGAAAAATGAATGAATGAATAAATGAATGAGTGAGTGAGTGAGTGAGGAGTAGATTCCTCCCTTGCCATCATGAGTCATGCCCAGAAGGACAGAAGTGCCAAGCCTAAGTTCAGTCTACCCCAGGACTCTGGGTAGATCCTCCCAGGTTAGGTGTGGGAGGGGTCACAATATTGCAAGCCTGTGCTATTCCTGAGTCTGAATGACACCGTGGGGAAGAGTCCCTTCCTGAACATTTCAGTAATGCTCCCGAGCATGATGGGTACCACGGCAGCAACTGTAAAACTGTGATGAAATTTTAATTGTATTAGGATTATGGGGAATCAGTTTTATTGCGAGGACTTCCGCTGTCATCCTCCTACTGTAATAAGATGTCTTCAGAAAGGGCTCCTCAGAGTCCCCAGCCCCACTCCTGCTGTCTCATGCTGCCTTTGTGAATGAGGAAGGAGCCTGGACCATGAAGAATTCTAGGGCTCCAGAGAGGACAGAAGCAGGGAACCCCAGCTTAGTCTTACTTAGTTTGGGGTTTCCGGTGCCATTCGCCACAGATCTCTGTCCCTGAAGGCACCTCATGACAGCTGTGCCCACACTTCCGGTGGAACATATTAGAAACTGAGCTGGGGATGTAGCTCAGTTGGTAGTGTCTGCCTAACATGGACAAGACCCTGGGTTCAGTCTCCATTAAGCTGGGCATGCTGGTGCCCGTCTGTAGTCCTAGCACTAGGGAGGTAGCAGAGGGATCAAGAGTTTAAGGCTACAGGAGATCTGATGTCAAGAGAAAACAGCCAAATGCAGGAGACCAAGGCAGCCAGTTCAGCAGACAACACTGTGAGCTGAGCCTGCCTCAGTGTGGGCTCACACTAGGGGTTCCGAGCCCAGCCCCTTCCCACTGCACAGTTCGCAGGCTCCTGCCCTGGCAGAGGCCCTGGTTTCCCACTCTCCTTTCATCTTGTCTTCCCTTTTCTTTCTCCATGTCTCTCTCGCCTGGGATCTGCCCGCCTTTTCTGCCTCTGCCTCTGGCTGGCCTCTCACTGTTCACGCTGCCTTCCGCTCATCCCAGGCTTTCTCCTTCCCTCCTCCTTCTGCTCTGTGTGCTCCTCTTCCTCATCTTTTTGTTGTTGTTGTTTTTGCTTTTGTTTGAGACAGGGTTTCTCTGTATAGCCCTGGATGTCCTAGAACTCACTCCGTAGACCAGGCTGGCCTCAAACTCACAGAGATCCACCTGCCTCTTCCTCCCGAGTGCGGATTAAAGGCGCTGCACTGCCCCTGCCCAGCCTATGTGCATTTCTGCTTTCTTTCTCCTCTTCTCCCAGACAGAGGTCCCCTCTTGCCCTGACCCTCTGTCTGGAACTTTCCTCTCCAGATGGGGCTGGTGGTCATCCTGGCTTCCACGGTGGTGGCCATGTGTGCAGTGGCCCAGCTCTGGGAAGATGAGTGGGAGGTGCTGCTGATCTCCCTGCAGGTGAGTGAGGTGGGCAAGGGACAGGGACACTGCCTCCCCAGGACCTTTGCAACAGGCAAGCTTTTATCACTTCTGTGTCTCCACACCAAAGCACAGAGGAGTAGGGAGGGGTCTGCAGAGCAGGCTTCCCAGTGTCCTCAGCAGGCAAATAGAGACAGGATTGCCTGTCTTGTAGGTAGAGATGGTCAGCAGCATGCTGGTGACCTGAGGGGTCTGGATCTGCCTTTGAGTCCCTGGTCCCTCCTGCCTCTCTTCACACCCAGGGCACAGCACCATTCCTGCATATAGGGGCCCTGGTGGCCATCACTGCACTCTCCTGGATCGTTGCCGGACAGTTCGCCCGTGCAGAGCGGTCCTGTGAGTACACCCTAGAGAGGGCCCACCCATCCTGACCTCCATGAATACCAAGGCCAGCTTAGACTGTTCCCACTAGGACTCTACCTGGGTGGTCTGAGTATGAGATGGGGCCCCTGTGCTTAACATCACAGGCTGGCTTCAGGCCCTTTATACCAAAGGATGCTCTGGAGTTTTGCTCTGGGTTCCTATGTTTTCATGTACATGTGTGCATAAGTTGTAGGTGGGGTTTACTTCCTGTCAGAGCAAAAGCCACTCCCCAGAACACCAAGTCTGATTCCAGTCTGGCTAGCTAGGCATGGTTGGGCCTGCTGAGAGCCACACAGTGGCTCACGGAATGTTCCTCCTGGCCGTGTCTGCAGCCTCCCAGCTCACCATTCTCTGTACCTTCTTCGCCGTGGTCTTCACCTTCTACCTGGCCCCTCTCAGTATCTCCTCTCCCTGCATCATGGAGAAGAAAGACCTGGGCCCCAAACCTGCCCTCATCGGCCACCGAGGGGCCCCCATGGTAAGTACCCCAGAGGGTGGAACAGGGCAACAGCCATTGCAGGAGAGGAGCCTGTGGGAAATGAATGTCATGTCTGTGTCAGCAGATGTATCATTGGCACAAAAGGACATCCTGGTTTGGTTTGATCTGCTTGAGACAAACTGGGATTTAAACTACCACCAGCCTTCCTGCCTCTGCCTCCTGAGTGCCGGGGTTACAGGCATATGCCACCGTGCCCAGAACACAAGGACTTAAAAGCAAACAACAGGCTGGGGAGATGGCTCTGCAGGGAGAAGCACTTGCCGTGAAAGCCTGGCACTCTGCGTTTAATCCCTGCAGCCTACATAAAGATAAAGGAGAGGAGGTCCTGTGAGTTCTGCGTGTGCACTGAAGCATGTGTGTGGATGCTCACACACACACATGCACGTACAGACACATACATGTACACACATACATGCACACACATGCACACACATGCACACACATATACATGCACACACGTGCGCACATATGCACACACACATGTACACACATGTACACACACATGCACATACACATGCACACACACGTACACACACATGCACATACACATGCACACACACGTACATAATGGTAATTGTAACACCAAACTGACAATATTTAAAAGTACTTACTTTCACTTTTATGTGTATGATTGCTTTGCCTGACACCGTGGAGACCAGAAAAGGGCATCAGGTTCCCTGGGACTAGATGGAATTATAGACGGTTGTGAGGTGCCATACAGGTGCTGGGAATCAAACCCAGGTCTTCTGGAAGAGCAGCCAGAGAGAGCCATTTCTCCAGCCCCCAGATTAACAATTATTTAATATGACCTAATATCATAGTTATTTTTCCTTTGTCTTCAAAAATATCTTTGTAGTGCAGACTTTTAAAATCATGATCTGGATGACATCATGCAGCCCATCTGCTTGACACATGTCTCCTGAGTGCCTTTTCATCTGTGACAGACACACACACACACACACACACACACACACACCCGCCGCGGCGTCTCCTTTGTGCTATTTATCTGCTGATGAAGCTGTCTCTAGACAGCCTGTCAAGCTGTGCATTTGGCTGCTCCATCCTGTGGTGGCTTGCTCATTATATCCGTTGTCCTGTTTTTGAGACAGGGTCTCAGTGTGCAGCCCAGAATAGCCCGGAACTCGCAAACCATCTGTCTTCCCCTCCTGAGCGTTAAGGTTACAGGTGTATGCCACCATGCCTGGTTGTGGTGTTCATTTTACACTTGTATGGTTTCTACCCTGACACGGGATGATGGTGCGTAGTTGCAGGTTGCAGTGTTGTTCTCAAATGTGTAAACAATGCATTATCCTCACACCAGAGCGATTTGCCCATCACCTTACACACTGTTTCATTGTGTTAGGAACATTCAGAATCCTCTCCTCTGCCTGGTTCAAAATACACAGGAAGTTAGCATTTACCACAGCTACCCTATTGCTGTAGAATGCTAGAACCCGTCCATGTTGCCCATCATTTCTACCTGGTAACCAGCCTTCCCCTCCCACTCCCAGCCTCTGTTGACCACTGTTCTGCTCTTCACTTCTGTGGGGTCTATTTTAAAAAACAACAAACAAACAAACAAACAAACAAACAATCCCAAAACCCTTTCTTAAAAAATGTGGCATTGCAAACCTTATGCCTCAGGACACATGTGGACAGTTTGCAGGGTCAGTTCCCTCCGACCATGGGAATTAAACTCAGGTCGTCAGGTTTGCAAGCAAGAACCTTTCCCTACTAAACCATCTTGCAGACGTTTTAGTGCTGGTTTGGGAGGTGGGTGGGCAGCAGTGCTCTCTCCATGTCACTGTGAATGACTGTGTCCAGGGTCACCAAGTGTGTGTTCCTGAGGGCTTCTCAAATGATCACCATCCTTTTTGAGTTGCTGGGTCTAAATCCAATCTCTGGTTTGGTGATGACCTCTAGTGGTAGGAAAAGGTATTGCAATTTACTCTGACTTCATGGCGCCAAAGGAGAGACTGGAAGCTAAATACCCCTGGAGAACAGTGATCCCGTATTCCCAGAGTTCGAAAGAGAAGGTGGTTCCTTAGGAGGCAGGGTTCACCCAGGGTTGGAAGGCAGAGTCATGCAGCGCAATGGCTGGGACTGACCTTCAAGCCGGTGAAGGGCTGCAAACTTACTACGTTGGGTGCCAAGCATGAATTTTAGACCATGTGTCAGTGTAGTGATGCAGAGAATATTATAATTGATGTATAGACGAAGCTCATCACCCCACAGCAGCCCCATCCTCTCTCCTCCCCTCCAGAATCTCCATCTGGCCTGGGCTCTGAGATTAAGCCAGAAGGGACCAAGCACTCAGTCTCTGCCCAAGGCTACCACAGGGCCACAGGCCTGTGGAAAAGGCCATTTGCTTCCAGAGTCTTGCTCAGTGCCTGTAATACAGCAAGGGCAATATGGTCAGAGTTATTATTTGCTAAGTCTTAGCTGTGTCAGGCACTTATATGAGTCCATACTCAGCACACTGCCTGCCCCTTTCCCCCAAACCTCCATGAGGTATACATATCATAACAAATGAAAAAATGGAACCTTGAAGCAGCTGTGTGAGTGCCCAGGTTCCCATAGCAACTCCAGAAAGGAGCCAGAATGAGAGGCAGACCTCCCAGCAGGGGGAGGCCTCCCACTGGCTGGGGAAGGGTCATCAGCTGGACCCTAACTCTGCCCTCTCTGGTCTTTCCTCTCTAGTTGGCTCCAGAGCACACACTGATGTCCTTCCGGAAGGCCCTGGAGCAGAAGCTGTATGGGCTGCAAGCTGACATCACCATCAGGTCTGGTGGTGGCCATTCCCCACCCCCACCCACCTCTGCATCTGGCTCTCCTCATAAAACCTCCTGCCCATGCCTTGGTGATGGGAGGGGAACAAAGGCCTGGATGGTCCACAGCAGGCCAGGCAGCCTTTTAGTGCCAATGAGGTTTGTGCCAGACTCCAGAATAGGAAGAACAGGGTCTTGTTCAGGCAAGGTTTAGGTGTGGGGACCTAGAGCTCTGTCACAGACACATTGGAAAGAAAATTACATCTGTGAGTCTCATGCCTTTAATCCCAGCACTCTGGAGACAGAGGCAGGCAGATATCTATGAGTTCAAGGACAGCCTTGTCTACAAACTGAGTTCCAGGACAGCCAAGGCTATGCAGAGAAACCCCATCCAAACAAACAAACAAACAAACAGATCATATGGAAGGGACGTACACATCTCCATCTATAGATACAGCATATTATTAGTATGAATGTCAATGGGGAAACCCATCCCAACCTATCGGAGGTTACCCTGAGGAGGAGAGAAGGCGGGGCCACCAAATACTACTCCCCAGGGTGTACAATACACAGCTACACCATGTAAGTGAGGTTAGCACTCCTGGTGTAGACCGCATAGAGTATACACCCGACACCTCCCTCCCTAGGAGCCTATAAAATGCCTTGAGGAACAGGGAGTGAGGGAGCCCTTTGTTAGTCTGCACTAAGGAGCTCTGTGAGCTGTGGCCAGCCCTGGTGGGTGGATAAGGACGAGAGAAGTATGTGGACTTTGTCTAAGAGGCCTGTGCTGGCACTGCTATCAATGTGACATGTCAAGGACTTGGTTTGAGGCCAGGTTCCACCATTTAGTGGACTTTGAGCTAAATGCTTCCTGCTTAGCCTCCGTCTCCCCCATTATCAATCCCGGCAGTGCCTACCTCTATCGGTGCTAAGTGCACAGACCCACTTCCCCCAGCCCTCCCCTCCCCAGCTGTCTTCCCCACTTGACCTCCATAGAGAGCCAAGGACTTGTCCCTTGAACCCTTTGAGGTCCCCACTGGCCCAGGGGGAGTCTGTAGTAGCTGAGATGGGAACAGAAAAGCTGTGTCCTTTGAGGGTGGGGAGTAGGGAGGGTGGTGATGGGGAGACGGGTATCTCTGAGTGGGTGATGACAAGGGTCCTCTCCTGCAGCCTTGATGGTGTGCCCTTTCTCATGCATGACACTACCCTGAGGCGGACCACCAATGTGGAGCAGGTATTCCCGGAGCTTGCCCGCAGGCCTGCTGCCATGCTCAACTGGACTGTCCTACAGAGGCTCAACGCCGGCCAGTGGTTCCTCAAGGTTTGCCTGTACCTGGGCCTGCCCTAGGCATGGGAGACATGGAAGGCTCCTAAAGAAGGAGGCAGGTGGCCTTCAGCTCAGATGACCCTAACCAGGCTATCCAGTGACCCCCTCTGGGCTCTTGTATCTGGACCCCGTAGCTGCCACTGCTTGTTTGGGGTCTCTGGTGATTGGCTTTCCCTCTCAAGGCTGCTGATCCTCAGTGGACTTGTTGAAGCTGTAGATACAGGACTGGGGATGTAGCTCCATTGACAGAGTGCTGGCCTAGCTTGTACCATGGCCTGGATCATTCTCTAGCATCACATAAGCCTGATGGGGTAGTGTAATCCCAGCAACAGGTGGAGGTAAAGAGGAACAGGACCTCAAGGTCATCTTGGACTACATAGAGGACTCAAGGCCATGATGGACAGGCTCTAAACAAAGGATTCACTTGGGAAGGGGGCGCGGGGCTAGAGGCAAATGTTAGGCACTCCTAAGACCCCTCCTGGGCCACAGTGATCAATTGCTCAACATATCTGCAGTCACTGGTGGCCCTGGGTCTCCATGCCCCATTGCCAGGAAGGCGTTTGAAAGCTCTGTAGACCTAATGATGGCATGCATGTCCCTGTTTCTGCCAGACTGACCCCTTCTGGACAGCCAGCTCCCTGTCACCCTCCGACCACAGGGAGGTTCAGAACCAGTCCATCTGCAGCCTGGCAGAGCTCCTGGAGCTAGCCAAGGGCAATGCCACACTGCTCCTCAACCTTCGGGACCCGCCCCGTGATCACCCATACCGTGGCAGCTTCCTCAACATCACACTGGAGGCCGTGCTGCGTTCAGGCTTCCCACAGCACCAGGTGAAGCCCAGTGGGCTACCCCGGCTTAGCCCCCGGCATCGAGTTAGACTCACCTGTTCCCTTCTCCGGGCTTTAGTTTCCCTGATGGTGAAACAGGGCTGTGTGCACCGTATTTTCCTGACTGGCCCATTGTGGGGACAACAGATCCTTTGAATCTCTCAGAGGAGGGTAGTGGCCCATGTTCTCTGGTTACTTGAGTGGAACGTGGCCCAAATCACTGTGGTGTCACAGTTGGGGAACCTGATACCACTCTGTGACACACAGTTCTCTAGGTGCTATTGAGTGTGGTCAGAGGAGGGGAGGGGAGGGGAGGCTCCTCCATCTTGTCTTGGCCAGGCAAGCTGCCCAAGTAGTTCACTGTGGGCTCCACTGCTATAGTCAGGCTCCACTTTGACCCTTGAAGGATCTAGGAGGTCTAGGACCCTCTCCCCGAATCTGGAGATAAGAATTCTGACCAGCCTGACCACCCTGTCTCCTGCCACAGGTCATGTGGCTGCCTAACAGGCAGAGGTCTTTGGTACGGAAGATGGCTCCTGGCTTCCAGCAAACATCTGGATCTAAAGAAGCCATCGACACCCTACGGAAAGGTCACATCCAGAAGCTAAACCTCCGCTACACTCAGGTGTCCCACCAGGAGCTCAGGTGCCTGCCCTGTGCCATTCAAGATGGCCCTGGAGGAGGGAGGGACTGTGTATCCCCAAGTTCAACCCGCCACTTAGCACATGTGGGCACAGGGCAGAATACGGAGGGAGCCTGGGCACACAGGGTTTGGAAGTGGGATGAGAAGCACTGAGCAGAGATGGGCTTGCCTGTGAGTGTAGACCCCCTGTACACAAACACACTTTCTTCCTGGGCTGGCTGAGAAAGTGTCTGGCTATCAGGAGGTGCTCTTCCAGCTTCCCATAGCAAAGCAGCTAAAGACCTCTGTCCCCTCCCCAGGGACTATGCATCCTGGAACCTGAGTGTAAACCTCTACACTGTCAATGCACCGTGGCTCTTCTCCCTGCTGTGGTGTGCCGGGGTCCCCTCCGTCACTTCCGACAACTCTCATACCCTTTCTCGGGTGCCTTCTCCGCTCTGGATCATGGTGAGTTGGAGATTGTGAGGCCTGAGGATATCTTGGGGATGGTGAAGAGGACCATCAGTTACCTGTAAGGGCTTTCCCTGCAGAGAATACAGGGCATCGGAGGATGGTGGCATCCATGGTGTGTGTGTGTAGAGGGGTAGGGGTAGGCTAAGTCACAGTGGAATTGTCACAGCTTCCAGGGTCTTCACTGGAGTGCTGGGGACCCTGGGCCTAACCCACAGGGAAGATCACGTTGCCTAGGATTCTCAAGAAGCTAAGTTTCCTGGGTCATGAGCTACTCCTTAGATTTGGTTTTAAAGGAAAAGTTGTTCCAGAAAGAGACTGGAGGACAGGGCAGGTCTACTCAGAGGACTGTGAGGAGTGTGTGGGGACCAGTCTTGGAGCACCTGAGACCAGCTGAGCTCCTCTTCCAGCCCCTGAGATAACCCTGGGATGAGGCAGAGGCTCCTTGCTGTGTTCCTGAGGACACGAAGACAGGTAGAAGGCTCTGTAGCAAACAGGGTTGCAGTGTTAGCAAGTCAGAGCTAAGTTACCGATGCTTTCATGGAGAGAGGTGTGGGCAAGGCCAGAAGAGGGCCTCAGTCATGGAGAGGAGGCTATGGAGGCCTGGGCCATGAGCTTTAGACTCATACAACTTATCATGACCCCTGCCAGTCCTGAAAGACCCTGCTTTTCATCTTCCATCTGAACAACACAGTCCTTAAATACCTCTAACCCTCCTCAAAGGTGACATGAAATAGGTAATAGGCAGGCAGCGGAAGTGTGCATATTGTTCAGACCTGGGAGTTGATGGACAGAAAAAAGTGCCCCCCCCATAAGTCTAAGGGTACTGAGGCTACATATATGGGGCTTTGTCTTCCCCCAGACCTTGTGATCAATGTCCTACTGCCTTACACAGGTGTCCCATACCTATTTGTAGAGTCATATGTCTGTGTGCTTGGTACATGGTATCTTACATGACAATGCATCATCAACTGGCGCTTGCCTTGAGCTTCTGGAAGCTATACACACTTGAATTTCAACATACCACCTCTACCTGGAATATACACACACATACATACACAAACACACACACACATACACACATTCATACACTCACATACATGCACGAATGGATACATGTATGCATACACACACATACATACATACAGATACATACAGAGAGAGAGAGAGAGAGAGAGAGAGAGAGAGAGAGAGAGAGCCCACTATGCCCAAAGTCCACTCCTGCGAAATAAAACAGTGAGGAGCCTCAAGCTCCCCCGCTTGCCCGTCCTCGTAAGAGGTCCCCCAGTCTGTGGCCCTTCATTGTAGAAGAGCTGTGACTGTAAGCTAACCTTGGGTCATCTCTCCACAGCCCCCAGACGAGTACTGCCTCATGTGGGTCACCGCCGACCTGATCTCCTTCAGCCTCATCATTGGCATCTTCGTGCTCCAGAAGTGAGTAGACACCAACGCCTCCATCACCTGCCTATCCCAGCAGGCCCAGCTCCACCCTCAGCAGAAGCTGGATGGCCTCTAGAATGAGCTCCCAGCTCAGGGCTCAGAGCCAAACCTTGCTCTGATCTGCTGTGTGGTATCTGGTGGATGTTGCCCCCTCTGTGGCCATTCTGCCTACTGTGAGCCAGCGTATGGGTTCACTCCTGGTAGGACGGAGTGCTACTCTGACAGTTAAAACCCCTCGCACCCCTTAGGACAGCTGGCATGAGGCTGCCACATGTGGAATGGGTGGTCCAGGGAGGGGAAGCAGTTGGGCCAGCCTGGGGCCCTAGGCAAGCAGGAACCGAGGGGCTGGGGTTGGCTCTTGACTGACGTTCTCTCTCTGTCCCATCCTGCTCTGATGGCGCATGTCCCTCCTCTCTCCCCTCCCCCTCTCTGCTGCACTCTGGCATCTCACAGCTATCACTTGATCAGGTAATTCTGGTGTGCTCCCCTCCTGCTCCTCTCTCCCCTTCCAGCCACTCCCTTTCCAGGTCTGTCTGAAAAGCTGCTGTGCACTGAGCCCTGAGCCTGGGTCACCCTTGCCCGTCTCTGCCTGAAGCACGGGCCCTTCTCCACCTTCCCACCCACCCCCACCTTCCTTTCTGCTCTTTCTTTTCCTTTCCTTTCCTTTTTTTCCTTTGAGACAAAGTCTCACCGTGTAGCCCAGGCTGTCCTCCAACCTTTAATCCTCCTGCCTCAGCCTCCTGAGTGCTGGGATGTCTTCTTCCTGTCTGGCTATGTGTGCTGTACTTTTTGGTCCCTAACTGCAGTGTCTGCAGGTGTAGACCAGTGTTTTCTTGGTAGATGTTGACCCAGCTTCCCTCCACCAGAGTGTCTCCCCTGGGGAGAGGGGTCTCACATCCCCATGTCCAGCACTCAGGGGGCCCTTTGCCACCTGCCCAGTGCAAAGCCCAAGTTTCTGTTTCTCTCCTGCTCCATTGGCTTCTGCCTCTTGGGACTTCCTTTCCAGTGGTTCATGCTGTTTCTCTGTATCTCTCCCATAACCTTTTCTTTTTGCTCTCTGTGATCCACACCCTCATTCCTTTCTCCTTCCCCCCACCCTGGGGGGAGACTGATCCTACCCCTCAATCCCTGGTGGCTTTCCTGACCCAGATGTGCCTGGCTGTAGAGACCCTGGCCTAATACTTTTCCCCCCGTGGGTTCTAACATTAATTTCTAAGAGGAGACCTTAGCATTAGGGATTATCAGGGATCTTAAGACCTCTGGGTCAGGCAGCTTTGTTGACCAGCTTCTTGGCCTGAGTCTAAGAGAACCTGCGCTCTGGGACTGAGCCCTTGACAGCACGTTTAGCTCGTGTAGCCTCCATCCACTTGCAGAGTCCACAGGCGCCGCCTGTGTGGTAGTGAACCCATCAGACACAGCCCCAGCAGAGTCACTGTCTCCTGCAAGTCAGGAATAGCCAGAGAGAGGAGCGGGGCCATGGGAGACGAATCAGGAGAGAGATACTTTCTCTGTGTGTCCCATCCTTTCATTCACTGATTCAACAAACACTTGCCTAACCTCACAACATGCCGGGCATTGAGGCCGGCACTAGGAGCCGGCCAAGGTGCCAGAGGAACAAGCACTGCCCTCAAGAATTGGCAAAGCACTGGCCCAGCCGAGGTGCAGTGCCTTCCCCTCCAGCCTCTTGCTTCCCTACTGTCTGCCTGTCCTACTACCCTGTCTGTCCATTTCTGCTGTGTCAGCCCCATCTACAACCCCACAGTGAGTTTTATATGGAATCTTGGCTGCCTCCGACCACCCAGCAGGGCTCCATCTCCTGGGGAATCAGGGGTGCTTATTTCTAAGCAGATAACTCCAGACCCCGTTCCTCTAACATCTTGGTCTGGGGACCTGTGAGGACCAGTCCTAAGCAAAACCTCACCGTCACCAACCTCTTTGGCCCCTTCTGGTTTTACTCAGCCTGTTGTGTTCATTGGTTTATAGGAGGTTATCAGAGTCATATCTGCTAAGCTCCTTGCTCCTGAGACTGCCCCTCCAAAGAGAGCCAGGGCATAACATAGAACTGCCTTCCCAGGGAGGGAGGCTGATAAAGGAGGGGGGAGAGGCAGGAGAGCCCTGGCTGGAAATCAGTAATTAACCCTCTCTGGGCCTCAGTTTCCTCATTTGTATCATGGGTCTCTCAGGCCACATCAGGAGAGGCTCTGGAAATGGGCTGGGTCTCTGCTCCTGGGAGGCTGGGGAGGACCTGATGCCTACTGGGCTATCTCTGCAGGTGGCGCCTGGGTGGTATACGGAGTTACAACCCAGAGCAGATCATGCTGAGTGCCGCTGTACGCCGGACCAGCCGGGATGTCAGCATCATGAAAGAGAAACTCATCTTCTCAGGTGACAGCCTGCACATGCCCTGGGATTAGGTGGCACACATGTAACACACCAGGATAGGTGGAGTTCACACCCACACATATACTGGGGGACAGAAACACATGTGTGTCCACATCATACAACCCCAGATCCTGGGGCTCAGTGTTAGCCCTGGGTTGGTGAATAAACATGACAAGCTAGAGTGTGGGGAAGGGAGTCTGTTTGAAGGCCCAACACCTTTCCTTGGTTCACACATGACTTTCACAAGTGACAACTGTGCTCTTTTCAGTCCCTGCTGACATTCCTAGTCTATGAAGGCAGCTGTAAAGACGTGTGCAAAACTGGGTGTCACTGCAGCTCCTCAAAAAAACTGAGTCAGAAAGTGTGCTCAGAGCTCCCTGGGGCAGCGAGAAAGGTTTGGGTGGTGATGTAGCTGGGGTGTGAAGGATACCTGCAGGTGCCTGGCTAAGAGCTTGATCAGACACAAGGAAGAGTGCTCCTGTGGAAACTGGTGTGCCCCAGGGCTGCGCCGCTCGTCCAGGCACACAGAGCCAAGCAGCATTGCACAGAACCACCTTCCGGAACCTCGGCTCTGCTCATCTCCAACACTAGAACACAAGGGTCCTTGAGGGGCTCTGCTCAGGCCCCCACCCTTGTAGACTATGAGAAGGGGGGATGAACAAGGCTGGCTTGAAATAGGAGGTCCCAGCCTAGCCTGGGGAATCGAGGAGATAGATGTCTAGTAGGCTGACATACCAGGGATGCAGAGGTCTAAGCCAGATTTTAGGAAAAGAGCTGTTGCTGGGTAGAGAAGACACTCAACAGAGAGGAGCCAACATGTGCAAATGTAAACACTGGGTAACAAGCACCCGAGGGTGCATTAGTTTTCTGAGACAGAAGTTCCAGGGGGCAGAGGACTAAGGGCCTAGGAGGGACCAAGGAGGCCCCAGAACACCAGGCTCAGTGCTAACTGGAACCAGTGGTTACATCTGTCTCTGAATGCCTTCCTTCCCCTCTGTCTGTCCCCCTGTCCTCAGAGCCAATCTTCCTCGCTCACATTCTGTCTCCTCTGGTCCAACAGAGATCAGTGATGGTGTGGAAGTCTCTGATGAGCTCTCCGTATGTTCAGACAGCAGTTACGACACCTATGCCAACAGCACAGCCACCCCCATGGGCCCTCGAAGTGCTGGCAGCCGTGCCAAGACCTTCACAGAGCAAGGTGGGCATTAGCTGAAGATCTGTCTGCCCAACTTGTACCCAAGGTAGAACCTAGAAGAGAGGAACGCCTGAAGAAAGAAACTGCACCTGGAGTGCCTGGGAGCTGGCTCCTCAGCCTACGTGTGTGCCCCAAGCTCCTTTGTCTGTTCCAGCCTCTCTTGCATGACTGGGGGATGCCGGGGGTCCTCTCCACTGAGGCTCAGCTAGACTAGGACTCCAGCCTCTCAGATGCCCCTGCAGGCCTGGGGCTTTTCATCCAGGAAGTGAAGGCCTAGTCTCCTGGTCCACTCTCATAATCAGCCTTGGCCTCCCAGCCTGGAAGGTTTGGCGAGTCACCGGGGTGTGCCCTGTGCCCCATGCAAGTGGAGGACGTGGCTGTCTCCCTGTGCTCACACCTGTCTATTTTTCTGTCTGTGCTGTGAGATGACTAACTGTTCTCACTCCTGCCTTGAGGACGTTGGCTGGGCCTCACCCCTGCCTCAGGGCTCTACTCTGCACCCATCTCAAAGCACAAGGAAGTTCATCTCAGGAGAAACCAGTGGCTGTGGTGGAGACATGTTCCTCCCAACCAGCTTCCCTCTACCACTGGCCTCTCTGTCCCTGAGAAGCAGCTAGAGATGACCAGAATCACAGGCTCAGGGCTGTTCTGCCTCGCACCCGACTGTCCAGCAGGCCTCTAGGGCAGAAGAAGCCTTGAGGACCAGGTGAACGACAGACTGATATGACCTCAGGTTCCCACAGCTGTGGCCACAGGGCAATGGGCCACCTGGGCAAAGCGCTCTGGGCTCAGTCAAGCATGGGCCTCTGGCCAAAGCTGCCTATAGTAGAAGGAACCTAAGGGCAAAGACAATTAAAGCTGCCATCTTGATGTGTGTTGTCTCTGAATTGTCTGTGGCAGTCTGGGGACCCAGCATGTGTGGGTTGGCATTAGGTGCTGGCCCCGGGTTTTGAGGAAGAGCCATTTCACAGGTAAACATGACTAGATCTGAGTCCTTGATCAGCCATGATGCCGGGACTTCAGCAGCCCCTGGACTGCATAACAAATGAATGCCCTTGCATTATGTGGGGCAGGATGCTAAAATGATCATCCAAAGTCACATAGGCAAAGCCAGGGCTACTCTTTGAGAAGCCTACATCCACACTCTTAACTCCCATTCTTAAAAATGTCTTTGGGGGGGGTGCTTTTTTTAAATTATCTTTTTTAATTTTAAAAAGTATGTATTTGTATGCATGCATACATGCCACTTGCGTGGGGGCACCTTCAGAGTCTAGAAGAATATGTTGGATCTCCTGGAGCTGGAGTTGCAAGCAGTGGTGAACCACGTGATAGAGGTGCTGGGAACGGAACTTGGGTCCTCTAGAACAGCAGCTAGTACTCTTAACCTCTGAGCCATCCCTCCAGCCGCCAAAATGTCTTTCTAAAAAAAATAAACTCCAGTGGGCTGGGGAGATGACTCAGCAGTTAAGAACCAGGGTTCAGTACCCAATGCCAGAATACTCATAGCTGTCTGTAACTGGCCTTCATTGCGCACACGCAGTACAGACGTGGTACAGGGAAAACACCCGTCCACACACGCAGTACAGACGTGGTACAGGGAAAACACCTGTCTACATAAAATCATTTATTTTTGGAGTCAGGGTCTCTCTATGTAGCCCAGACTGTCCTGGAATTCATTCTGTAGACCAGACTAGCCTTGAACAGAGATCTGCCTTCCTCTGACTCCCTAGTGCTGGAATTAAAGGTGTGCTCCATCATACCTGGCTCTTAATAAAAAGCAAAACAACAAAGCAAAAAGCCCTTCAATTCTACTGAGAGGGGAGGGGGAAGGGCCTCACATGCAGCCTGCATGCACCTTTTGTAACCATCTAGGAATGGCACAGCAGAGTGAAGGTTCTGATCTGAGACAGGCTGCAGAGCCTGGGTTGGGGGTCTTTCGTGGTAACATGGAGGACAAGTCCTGAGTGCCCGGATGCTTCTTCACATTGGCGAGGTTTGGCTGTGGATCTGGCTGAAGCAGGCTCTTACCCTCTGATTGACATGAGAGAGGATACCTGGGCTGAAAGTCAAACACAGCCCAGAGAACACAGATGTCTGGGTCTCCTCCAACCCAATGTTCCCAGCTCTGCCTGCTGCCCTCTGTGGGAAGGGTCAGCAGTGGAAAACCGGGAAAGTCTTTAAATCTTGAGGCTCTGCCCAAGGTCTTGAGAACATTCTGAAGGGAAGAAGGCTGAGCCTCTGCCCCAGCTTGCACGAGGTAAATGCTATGCCACTGAGGAAACAATGAATGTACTGCCTCATCTCCAAATGTGAATGTTCTAGATTGAATTATTGATATATGAAAGATTCTATGCCACTTTCTTGGGAGGAAAGAAATGAGCCCCTTCCAAATTCATACCCTTCAGTTGTCCCCCATTAGCCTCCCCCATTGGGAGTCTTGGGAGATTTACCCACCATTTCCCTTACTACGGAACATCTAGCAAGATCTCCTTCTGTGTCAGAGATCATTTCTGCTGTCCCTGGACACAGGTAGAATCAAACCTGATCTGTAAGGTTGGGAAGGATGTACAGTCCTACCCATATGATTTCACGGCTACTGTCTAGCCTGTGGAAAGCCATTCAGAAAAAGATGACACATTTTCATGGAATCTTCTCCTTGCCCAGTCAACTCCTCTGGGCCAACTAGACAGGTACCCAAGGCTCCTGGCCATGCTGGTGCACCTAAGACACCTTGCAATCTTAGGGAGGAGGGGATAAAGAAGGGTGCAGAACCTAGGGTCCCACTCAGAATCACTAGCTGCATCCCACCATCATCAGAACCTGATTCTGCAATCCTCTCCTGCCCAAGGATGGTCAGGCCACCTCCCTGTCACCAAACAATGAATGGCAGTCCTATCTCCATCCTCCAATGGGTCTTTGGTTCATGCTGCACCTTCTCTTCCCTAACCTAGGGGTTACTGAAAACTCTGCTGAAGCCCCCAGTAGATCCCCTTGACTACAGAGGACACCTCACTGCCCACCTTACAGAGAAACAAAAGAGCCTTTTCACCTGGACACTCCTGTGCCTCACTCCTTCCTCTCTAGTGCCTTCCTTCCCTGTTCAGATGACCCCCTATCTCCTGCAAGCCCTCTGTGAACCCTCAGCTCCTTCCCAAATATAAAGGTCCCCAAGCCACCCACATCTTTCTACATTTTCCATTTGTGTGTGTACGTGTGTGTGTGTATGTGTGTTTGTGTCACAGTACAGATGTGGAGGTCAGAGGGCAACTCGTGAGAGTTCTTCCAGGGCAGGAGCTCAAGGCAGAGACCGAGGCAGAGACCATGGAGGAACTCCTCACGGATTGAGCTCTTTCTGGCTCTCTCATGCCTTTTATGAAGCCCAGGACCACCTGTCTAGTATAGCACTGCCTATCATAAGATGAATCATTTACATCAATTAGAAATAAAAAAAAAAACACAAAAAACCAGACATGGCCACAAACCAGTCACAAGGCACTAATACTTCAGTTGAGCCTCCATCTTCCCAGGTGACTCTGGGTTTGAGTCAAGCTAACAACTGGAACTATCTATGACTGGGTCCCAGAGATTGGTCTTAAGCTATCAGATTTGGCAGCAAGTGCCTTCCCCTGCTAAGCCATCTCCCTGGCCCCAGTGATGCCCTTTCATGGCTATATGGAAAAGTTCTTTCCCTCCCCCAGTATAAGGGCAGTTTCCCATTTCCTGGAGCAGTGTCTTGTTTACTCTTTTATTCCTGTGATAAAACACCAAGAACAACCTGGAGAGGAATGGGCTTGTTCCATTTTACAGCTTTGGGTCACTGAGGGAAGTCAGGGCAGAAACTCAAGGCAGGAACCAGGGCAGTAACTGAAGCAGAGACCATGGAGGAACAATCCGTACTGCCTTGCTTGCTCACTCGCTTCGCGTGGCTTGCTCAGCTTGATTTCTTATACGACTCAGGACCACCTGCCCTTCCCCCACTCCTGTGGGATGGGCCTTCCCACATCAATCACCAATTTAGAAAATGTACCGCCACAGGCTTGTCCACAGGCCAATTAGGTGGGGATATTTTCTCAACTGAGTGTCTCTCTTCCCAAGTGACTTTCGCTTGTGTCACCTTGACATAAAACTAGTTGCACAAGCAGGGTCAATAGACAAACCTCAGCCAGGCTTCAGAATACAGGCTTTGCATTAATTAGATTTTTACCACTGGAACAAACTACCAGAGTAAAACAATGTAATAAGAAGGAAGATTTATTTTTCAATACTTGGTAACTTAACTATTGCTTCTAGGAAGAACACCATGGTGGCAGGGAGCATGTGGCTAGACAAAATGACATACTCCATTATGGGCAGAAGGCAGAGAGCAAGAAAATACAGGGCCAACCAACTAGACCCCAACTCATATTCTCTACCACTTCACAGTGATACCATCAAATTATTAACCCACCAAGGGATGAGTCCATTAGGAAGGTGCTCAGTGACTTCTCCAGAGCACCACCAGCCAAGGGACCAAGGTACCAACCTGTAGAGCTTTAAAAATAAATAAATAAATAAATAAATAAATAAAAAATTAGAGACAGAGACTCACTCTGTAGCCCTGGTTATCCCAGAATTCACTATGTAGACCAGGCTGCCCCTGAACTTGCAGAGACCCACCTGCCTCTGCCTCCTGAGTATTCGGATAAAAGGCATGTACCACTACAACCGATCTAGATGTTTTTAACTTTTTACTTATTTTGTTATGTACGGATGGATGAATGTGCACAGGCACCCGTGTGTTACAAGCGTGTGTGTGTGTGTGTGTGTGTGTGTGTGTGTGTGTGTGAGTTCTCTCCTTCCACCATGTGGATCTCAGATATCCTCGGGCATAGAAGCAAGAGTCTTTAGCCATCTCACTAGACTCATGTGAAGTCTTTCAGGGGACACTCTCCACTCATGCCATAACTCCTCCCATCTTCCATCAGCCTATGTGAGCCTGGCAGTATCGGGCTCTAACACAGAGAGGCAACTCCACACCATGGTGGAGTTACCAATACCCTCCTGCTGATGAGAAGAGTCAGACCAAGGGGCAGGCATCGATGTAGTCAGTGTTATCCAGCGACTGTGACACTGTCCTGACACAACAGGACAGGCTCTATTGGAGGCCACCTCCTTCCTGGATTGCTGTGCTCCTGTGACAAGCCCTGTAGTCCTTCACAGAGGCAGCAAGTGGTCTCGTGCCAACCTCCAAATCCACGCTGTCCGGCTCCAGAAGGTCAGGTGGACTCAGAGCCGACCTATTCTCTCTCCATCCAACTGTATCTGCTCAGTACCAACACATCCTTCCACTGTGTCCTCCCACGAGGCTCTCACTCCTCCATGTGGACACTGCAGTTACAGGACCACACAATGTATACAACATAGAAGATCCTGGTCACATCTGCATGAGCATCTGTCCACACACAGACACCTTATACTCATTCCTCACACACACAAGCCCAACATGGACATGACCAGTCACAAATACAATGACAGAAATGCTGTGAGCCAGCAACATGTACGAGTTGGTCACAAAGATGCAGGAGGGAAGCCTGGATCCACCGCAATGGCAAGCACATTCTTGGTTACATCCAAAGCCATGTAGTCATATGTCCCCAGAGCCCAAGCACCCCAGTACTACAGTCTCTGCGTTCCACATACTCACTCATGTACAGGTTCTAGAAACACCTACACACTGACAACCACCCTATCTACCTGAGGCAGACACCCCATACACACCATACAAACCCCCACCAGTCACCCCCAGTCTTCAAAACACCACAGCCCACTACAACATACAACCAACTCCATGCTTATCCACACTCCTCCCTTCCAAGACTGGCCCAAGAGTA